TTCATGTTCAAAAAAAAAAAAAAAAAAAAAAAGCGAATATACATCCATTCGATTTCAGATCCATGAAATTAAAAAGAAAATGCTTGATTTCATTCACAATGTCATCCTCAAATACACATTTGGCACATCAAACATAACGAAACTAAAACAACCATGGCGAAAGTCTTGGGAGAAAATAGATCAGGATCGGAGGGAGGAACCCCACCCACGGGATCAAGCTCCAACCGTTTCCTTCACTACTCTTCCCAAAACTTCCTCTGATTAGAAAGTTTACCTAACAAAGATAAACCCAGAAGAAATACATTCTCCGAAGCTCACGTTTCTTCCCTTTCAGCGTCGTTGAACCCCACTTTCTTCTCCACGAAATCTCTCTCTACTGCTCTCGAAAACCCAAACGGAGACTCCCAAAACCAGACCCAAAATCAACAAAAGAAAAACCTCTCCTTAATCTAATTTTACTCTCTACATATATACCCAAATAATATAATAAAATAAAAATAAAATAAAATAAAATAACTTCCACCGACAAGCACTGATCTCCGCAGCAAAAGCAAAGGACGAAGAAGATACCGATTTGTCTGGTATGCGCTGTTCTTCTGTAGGTGAGGCAAGGACAGGGCTGTAGCAAGCAGGAGTGCAGAGGCGCAGGATTGGGGGTGCAAAGGGTACGGGATCTTGGCGCAAAGCAGGGTTGGGTTCTCTTTTTTTTTTTTTTTTTTTTTTTTTTTTTTTATAACAGAGGGTGCAGCAGTATAGGGGGTGCAGCAGCAGTGCAGGGGGCGCAGCAGGGGGATGATCGCTGGTGAAGGCTGGCGATTGTGGCTGCCAGCTTCTCGGGGAAGGAAGGGATATTCGAGAGATGAGAGAGAGAGAAAGCCGAAAATGAGGTCCAGGAGAGGAAGGTTCGAGACACCTTCTTTTGGCAAAACCATAAGTTAAGCCCCTGAACCAACCCCAGAATCGCTATTAAGCCCCTAGACTGTAATTGATGCATATAAGCCCTCGAACTCGGGGATCAAAGCAATTAAGCCCTTCTTCGTACGCCAACTTAACTGCCGTTTGGGACTGCTCGCCTCACTCAACTACCGTTGAGGACACACCCTGCTTGGCTGCTTGGATGGCAAAATATTGCCATGTCATGCTTACATGGCAAGGGATTTAATATTTGACCTGAATTTTTGATTTATTTGATAATTTAATTTT